TATATGAGTTCTTCCCATTCAGATACGCCAGTAGTGGCGCCTAATGCTCGAGGGTTTCACTTGATCGTCATAATTGATCTAATTCACAGCTACCACACTCGCGAAAATCACAAATAACACTGAGGATTTCGAAACGCGTCACCGGCACAGTCCGCGATTCAAATAAACAGTTTAACTGATCTTATCAAAATGTTTGTTGTAAATGTACCTTTCTACACAAACCTAATTACCTAAACCAATTAAACAGTTTAATAAAACAGGCAATTAAACGAGTTTCTGAAAATTAAGTTTAATTAAATTGAACAATATGGTTGTTACTCAGAACAGTGAAAATAATCATTACGCGCAATGAAAATTTTTCAGAACAATTATTTAACTGACCACGTTTTCTCAGTGCATAAAAACAAAGAAATCTACATGTCTCGTGCGATTAAGCATCTGACAGTATTTATGTAACCGGGTACCAACTGGTAGCTAAAATATATTTCAAAGTACACTGAAAAAACGCCGTTAGAAACATTTTCATCACCCGTAATAAATTTTTAATTACTCCAAGTAACTAAATTATACCGATTTTCGCGAGGTGCTTCATATTCGAATGTTGCCGTTGGAACCATGGTTAGAATATTTCCCGCTCCAAATGAAACGCTGTGTATAGGGGGAGTCATCGTTGACGTGACGGAAAGGGAAGAACTGACATTTTGTTTATTTCTTTTATATTCCATAATCTGGAGGAAGTGAAGCCCCTGTCGATATAGACTTGTTAGTATTTGAAAATAGCCTAGTATGTCGAATTAATTTACAAACGTAAATGCGTTAAATTCGGGTGAGTGCAATATTGTTTTATTATTAGAGAAATAAAAGTAAATTTTTGTACAGATGATCAAGTGACGTTAACAAGTTTCAGGTATCAAACAGACAAATAGTTGATAAAACTTGATTGCATATATAATAAGTTCACAATAACTTGAAATAAATAGTATCGAGTTTTGTTAGGGTTATACAATTCGGACTTTTTATTTCGATTCGAACTACTATCAATTTCTCCAAATTATATCTACGATTTGCCAGGGCACACTTATAATATACATCATTCAGTTAAATGTTGCTTGTTTTTTAAATTCCAAATATTATCTAAATATCCCTTTAAATATAAATAAAATAATTAATAGAAACTAGGCAAACAGTTTTAACTACACTAATTAAGCAAATTTAATAAATCTAATTGAATTGTTCTATTTGGAGCAGGTAAACTCATTTTAATAGTCGATCAATTCCAAATAGTTTGGTGTAATCTATCTAAGTACACGGTTTAATGGATTTAATTAAATGTTTGCGATTTTGTTCAATTAAACTAGTTTCATAGATTCAAGTAAAGGGAATCGGAGCCTAGTATGTCGAATTAATTTACAAACGTAAATGCGTTAAATTCGGGTGAGTGCAATATTGTTTTATTATTAGAGAAATAAAAGTAAATTTTTGTACAGATGATCAAGTGACGTTAACAAGTTTCAGGTATCAAACAGACAAATAGTTGGTAAAACTTGATTGCATATATAATAAGTTCACAATAACTTGAAATAGATAGTATCGAGTTTTGTGAGGGTTATACAATTAGGACTTTTTATTTTGATTCGAACTACTATCAATTTCTCCAAATTATATCTACGATTTGCCAGGGCACACTTATAATATACATCATTCAGTTAAATGTTGCTTGGTTTTTAAATTCCAAATATTATCCAAATATCCCTTTAAATATAAATAAAATAATTAATAGAAACTAGGCAAACAGTTTTACCTACACTAATTAAGCAAATTTAATAAATCTAATTAAATTGTTCTATTTGGAGCAGGTAAACTCATTTTAATAGTCGATCAATTCCAAATAATTTGGTGTAATCTATCTAAGTACACGGTTTAATGGATTTAATTAAATGTTTGCGTTTTTGTTCAATTAAACTAGTTTCATAGATTCAAGTAAAGGGAATCGGAGTTTAATTAAATTAATCAACTCAGTTGATTAAATTTATTAATTTGCCTAATTAAACAATTAATTGTTTTATTTAATTTTAATTAGTGTAAGTAAGCAATTTGAATAAATAACAATGGACTGAGTGCTTATATTCGTTTACGTTGACGTTTGATGGCACTATTTGAAAAGATTTCAATTGTTTTTAAATTCGTTCTCCAAGACTATGTGCATATTTAACTCTTCCAACAAGCAATATTTTCGTAAGATTTCTCGTACAGATTTTTTGAAAATTACGGCCTTTGTCAAACTCTCGGACTTTTCTGGTAGAAGGTCGAATGTCACCTGCCGGTGTATTTTTTGATCAAGTGTGACCGTTGCGGAAGCAAACAGAAGTTTCGTCCAGACCCCACACATCATTAATATCATGACATAATGTGCATATTTTCTACGGTTAGAACTGAGAACTATTCATTCATAAGCTATGCCGTCTTTCTTGACCTTGATCTATTTCGAAGATACATTAACTATATTATTTTGAAGTTATCGAATGCACATCAGTTATCAGTTTGTAAAATCCCCCTTTTAATTCGATTGATAGATCAACAAAGGGTTGGTTGGTCAGAAGGCCCTCACGTATTTTCGATTTGTAATGTTCTATCTTTGTTCTTTGGTCAACTTTGCTAAAAATCACGCACATTCGTCAAAACTGTGTATTGGATTGATTTTGACAGTTTGATCAGTTCCAATGAATACAGTTTTTGTAAATCTGATAAGCTTGTGACTTGTGATTTCTCTATACGGACTCATTTGGTGTATTACTTAGTAGTAATCTACATATTCTAAGATTCCACATAATGGAAGAAATTATAACGTAAAACGAAAACATTTGATGGTCAACATTATGTTTTTATTGTTACATCAGTAAATTAGGTTTAGCGCAATGATAAATCTCGGTTAATAGTGAAACTACAATGTTTCTATGGTATAATCGTCTGCTTTACATCGTTCACTTGATCACGATCTCATCTGTTATTAAAAATAATGAGGCAGCTGAAACTGTATAAACCATCACATTTTTAACAGCTATGGCTCCATTATTAATGTGATGTATCAGAGAGATATGCAACAGGAAACGTTTATCGAGGGTTTAATTAAATTACAAAAATAGCTAATACTTTTTCCACGTTCAAATTTTTCTTCAAAAATAGTTTATGCACAAATATTAATCTTAACTAAGTCTTTGAGTTCAGATTTCATGCATTGTATTTTATAAGTTCATGAGCAAGTTGCACTTCATCTAAATTGTAATATTATTGATTATATATACAGGGTGGCCCATCCATGTGTGGACGGAATATTACTCATAAACAAATACATTTTAGGAAAACCTATTTATGGCATGTTATACACGACATTTGAGGGCACATTTCTAAAATATTGATAATTAAACAGGATGTCCTAATTTTGACCTACATATCAAAGTTGTGACTTTTTGTAAAATGCCTCAAATGTTATTGCATATTTGGATAAACCAATTCAAAAGAAGAAGATTGATATTCCATACTATGGGGTTTTGGTAATTAGCTACTGAGATGTACGGTGTTTTGTCCAGAAAAACCGAACACTTCGTCAACCCCTCAATCCGCCATTTTGAAATTTGGAGTGCTGAATTTTGTATATAGACAAAACACCTTATATCTCAGTAGCTAATTACCAAAACCCCATAGTATGTTATATCAACTTTCTTCTTTTGAATTGGTTCATTAAAATATGCAATAAAATTTGAGGCATCCCATTTGAAAAATCACAACTTTGATATGTAGGTCAAAATTGGAACATCCTGTATAATGGCCAATATTTTAGAAATGTGCCCTCAAATGTCATGTGTAACATCCCATAAATCGATTTTCCCAAAATGTATTTGTTTATGAGTAATATTCCGTCCACACATGGATGTGCCATCCTGTATAAATACTTATCTCCCATTTTCATACTCCTTGAGATTTTCTAAATATTATTGCAGCCAAGTTGGTCGATCAAAAAGGTCAACGAAATGATTTTGGAAATCTGTAAAGGTACAGATACACACGCTCAAATCTAGCCCAAAATTATGCAATTAATGAGCAATTGCTACTTAGTAGCATGTGTGTACATATGTTACTAGAAATAAGCATGCATTTTCTGACATGCTTATAAATCGACCGTCGTGCAATTTTTGAGCATGCTACCTGATTTTAGCGCGTGTGAGTTAAGGCAAGAATACACATGCCAGTAAAATAGCATGCCAGTGGCCAGTAACTTGTATGCTAACTACTTGTCCTACGACATCCCAAAATACACATGCTAGTTTTGGATAAGCCAGTCTGTGTAAACGTCTCCTAAGAGTCCTTGCTCGATTACCTATCTAGCAATAGTGCTGCTGAAGTGTGGTATCTAAATTGATGTGTTCTTTTTTTTGAGATGGAAATTTCTCATTTAAATGCTGAATTGAACAGTATTATACTGTCATTAGCAACACAGTGCGTAATTAAAATAATACGTTTAAAAAGTGTGAAACCAAAAAGGAACAGACAAATATGGGTGAAAAACTGGATTAGTAGACGCGACGTTTATGGAGCAAGTAATAGTTTGTTGAAGGAAATGCTGCAAGAAGACCTAGAGGGATATAAAAATCATCTCCGACTGCCTCCAGAAAAGTTTGATGTCGTTCACACACCTTTGAACATGACTCGCATGTTTCCTCCTCTACATTCCCTCGACGAAATCCTGCTACTGGCACACAAAAATCAAACGTCTTGCGATCTACTGGCGTGCTATCTTCTAGCGTGCTTTCTTGCTGGTAGAGAAAGTCACACATGCAAGTAGCACGCACAATCCAGTAACTGTCATGCGTCTGTGCGTGTAACAAGCATGTGTATTCTCGCCTTTAAGTCTGCTTATTAAGCATGCTATTATTGAGCATTGCATATTACATTACATACTTTAGGTATAAATTAAGCTATAGTGGATCTTGCAACTCTAATGTCTATAATGAATCTCCAGTTGCTAGATATCTCAAAGTCACTTTTGCTGGGATAGCATTTCGCATGTGTGTATCTTGTTTCTGTACAGCGCTTTCAACTTTAGAGAACAATTCGTCAAACTGATACGGCATCATAGGCAAATGATTTTTGTAGCTATCAATGTCTTCTTCTCGCATTTCTGTTAGCAATTGAGTACTTGCTCCAAAGTTTTCTCTGCTAGTGAGCCAATGTCGAACCCAAATCGTCCTAGTCATTCTCTTCTTCTTTCTTGATACCAAAAGTTTTTGGACATTGTATTCCAATCCAAATCATGACTTGACTTCTGTGGAAAGAGACACTTGGTTTTCCATTTTTGCAATGGAACACTGATAGAGAGCTTGCTATTAAATAGCATATGTGTTCGAAGTCTTTGCTTTGAGCAAGATCGAGAAGAGCATGCTAGACACAAGTAAATGTATCAGTTTGAAGAGCATGCTTATAAGCATGCTATTTTATGAGCATGTGCATCTGTACCTTTTAAAAGTCAACGCCTCCACAGATTTATGTTATAGGTATATTTTTCATTGAAAAAGATTTCGATGAGTTTCGGATTCTGTAAGGTTATTATAGGCATGCAGCAGCGGTGGCTCTTCGGTCTCCTGATCAGTCGCCGTGCGCTGTGCGGGTTCAAATCCCGTTCCAAGAGAAATTTTTCTCTTGGCTATGGATGTTGTGATTGTCCGTAGGTGGTGGGCGGTCTCTGATTGTCGAACGCGCAGGTATCACCCGGCGGATCTCGTAGGCGGGGCCAGAATGTGAGCATGTTGCATTCACAGAGTCCGTGTGGCGTTCTCCCTTTCTCCTGTATCCCCCTATAGCCCCACGGTAACCCATGGGTGTTTAGGCCATAGCTGCATGCAATATAGGCAAAATACATTAAAGATGATCAAATAAGGAATATTTTGGGATTTATAACCTTCTGATATTTTTTCCTCAACTTTGGCTATCTGTGGTGAAACAAAAATGTACTGAGCTATAACTGCATTATATTGAATAAAAAGATTGCCCATTGAATACAGATTTCAGAACGGCGCCACACGTGCTATTTGGAATAGAAAAGAAGTGATATTTGTAAGTGTCTGACACACACTACAATGTAACTATTGGATTTAAGTTCAAGTTGCACTGGTTACCGATCAGTGATATGCTAATTAGTACAAAGCTACATTATTATTACCTGCTCCTAATATGATATTATGAAACTTACTGAAATTCGGACTCGAGTCAGCGTGAAATAAAGCACAAATTGTTTGTGGAAAAAATTTATTCATTTATTGACAAAATATGTTCAAATTGGCGACCTCCTACTCTAATACAAGTTCGGCATCTCTTAAGAAAATACACTTTTAGAGTTCTCAGAGATTCAATTGGGCTATTTCAGCAGCAGCTTGATGTATTTGTTCTCGCAAATGTTCTTCGTTTTGAGTTTTGAATAAACTTTGTCCTTAAGTCAGCCCCAGTAGAAGAAATCTAATGGATTCAGGTCTGGTGATCGAGCAGGCCAGATTTTTGGCCTCGATCTTCCAATCCACCGGTGGGGGTAATTCTCACTTCACGCCCGTAGTGAGCAGGGCAGTCGTCATGTTGTAGCTATAGTGTACGCCGCAGATTCAAGGGTATATTTTCTAAAATAATTCTAAGCCGTTCCTGTAGGAACTCTAAATAATTTTCTGAGGTGAGCGTTGGTGGCAGTTCCACAGGTCCCAATATCTGACCATTAAGAATCCCGCTCCTTAAATTTATTTTGCACTGGTACTGCGACCGATCTGCTCTCATTTCGTGAGAATTTACTGTCTGCCAACTGTGAAGCGACAAATTATTTTATCAAAAAAGTTGGGGTCCAGTTCATGCCTCCGTAACATTTCTCTGCAAAAGCTAACCCTCGCCGGGTAATCCCTCTCTTCGAAAGTCTGAACTCGTTGAATGTGGTAGGGATGGAACTGATAGTCTTTCAAAACTTTGTGAACTGTAGATCTTGATATTCTAGTCCACCTTGCTATTATTCTGAGTGAAGTTGATGGATCTCCTTCCACTTCCTCTAATACAGCTTCAACATCTACCGTTTCAGGACGTCCTGTCTCGCCGCCACGCCTTCCAGGTATGCGACCCAAGGAAAATTAAAAACTAGAGGTAAAACACGAAAGACTTTGCATGAGGGGTACTTTTAGTAATTTTTCTTTATTATTAACAAGAAACATGTAAACATTACTTACCTTTAGATATCGCTGTATGGGTCCGGATGCCGGCGATTGGGGTAGCGCTCTTCGTAGAGCCTTTGAGCCGCTCTGGCATTACCGCAAGCTTCACCGTAAATCAGATGAATGTCCGCATATTCGTGCGAAGTATACGGCGTGGTCTCTGTCATATTCACAACACAATGTTTGTCGGTTCAATTAAAACAAACCGACGAAGTCCAATCCGATCCAAAAGAGCGACAAACTCAATCTACAAGGTTCAAGTCGTAAGGCAAATATTACATCAGGAACCTACTAGGATGCATACCTTTGTCAGTAGAGCGAGACAGCAGATAACTATTTATACTGATCTTCGCTATGTTTTTATGCTATCAACTGGGGCAATCAGTAGCGCGGAACAAGAATGTATCCCTTTTTTATTGTTGTTGACTATAGTCCGAATTCCAGTAGGTATCGTAAAATAATATCAAGAGCAGTTAATAATATCGTTGTACTATTTAGCATGTCATTGGTCGGTAACTTAAATTTAAATCCAATAAGTACATTGTACTGTGTGTCAGACACTTACAAATATCACTTTTTTTCTATTCCAAATATACTAAGTGACATATAAATCCGAACATCCAGTTTAAATGGTTTTATTTTAATAAAAGTTGGTGAATGTATTTATCTTACTGTAAATAACAAGTGAAAAAATTTTTAGCCTTCTCAGTTGGACATTCCGGTTTTTATACTGCTTTTTTTAATTCACTAACGCTCTAAAAATGAATACTTCAGCCGCAGTAAAGAATCAACGTTGGCGGATTTTGGTTCTTGACATCCTTTACGACCGGTTACGATGCCTAGAGTACGGAGACCTGTACGATTTCGTCAACTTAGTGAGTTTGATAGGGACCGTATAGTGGGACTTCGGGAAGCTGGACTTTCTTTTCGGGCAATTGCAGTCAGAGTGCAAAGAAGTGTAGACACTGCGGTTAGGTGTTGTCAGGCATGGCTTCGAGAAGGCCGTACGCTAAGAGCAAGGGGCACTGGACGCCGCCGTAGAACAACAGACCGTGAAGATCGCCGCCTAAGATTATTGGCCTTAAGGGATCGTTTCTCCACTACCAGGTCCATTGCAAATGAATGGTTTGCAGAACACGGAAGACCTATTGGCATGCGAAGTGTTTACCGACGAATGAGAAGTTTTGGCTTGTTTTCATATCGGCCACACTGGGTCCTCCCTTTAACTCGAGAACACCGACGCAATCGCCTTGAGTGGTGCAGACAACGGTCAGTCTGGGATCAGGAATGGAACAGTATTGTCTTTAGTGACGAGTCTCGATTTTGTTTAGGCATGCACGATGGTCGTGCCAGGGTTAGAAGGTGACGTGGTGAAAGGAGGAATCCACAGTTTTTTGTTGAAAGACATGTTCATCACACTGTTGGAGTTATGGTTTGGGGTGCTATAGCTTATGGTTCCAGGTCACCTTTAATCTTCATCAGAGGTAACATGAACGCGCAGCGTTATATCCACGGAGTTCTAGAACCCCATCTTTTACCCTATCTTGACACCCTGGCAGATCCAACTTTCCAACAAGATAATGCCCGACCACATGTTGCAAGAGTCACAATAGACTTCTTTCAACATAATGATGTCACATTGTTACCATGACCACCAAGATCTCCCGACTTATCCCCAATTAAGTACGTGTGGGATATGACGGGTAGGAGATTGCTCAATTTGCAACGTCCTCCTCAGACTCTAGAAGCACTTCGAGAGGAGTTGGTGGTTGCCTGGAATGAGATACCACAGGAGGACATTGACCACCTGATCAGAAGCATGCCTAGGCGCGTTGGAGAATGCGTAGCACATCAGGGTGCATCCACATATTATTAAAGGTCAAAGGGCTTTAAAGCAGTGCAATCATTTTGAAATTTTTATCATTTACTTATTATGCTTCATTAAGTACTTATACAAAATGTTATTAAAATAAAACTATTTAAACTGGGTGTTCGGATTTATATGTCACTTAGTATAGTACGCGTGGCGCCATTCTGAAATATGTATTCAATGAGCAATATTTTATTCATTAAATGCAGTTATAGTCGAGTACATTTTTGTTTCACCACAGAAGGTTATAAATCCCAAATTTTATTTATTTTATCATGGTTCCTTAATATCTTTTACCTACATTGCATTTGTATATGATACAGCAACTATCTAGAAGTATTTTATAGAAAAAATGAACAAAGTATAACCTTATTTGTACATGCAGCTAAAAAGACCACAGATGAAAAGGTTCATTTCGTTTGAAATTTAAGAAAAAAATCAATATCTCAAAAACGGTGACACTTTTACATAGGTAAGTTTTTGTTATTTGGGAGGTCAGCCCAAAGCCTAGCTTCTCCTTAAGTTTGTCGTGGTACTTATATACAGGGTATAAAAACGGTTATAACCATCTTTTTAAGTATCTTAATATGGAAAAACCCTGGGGAACAAAATTTGCTGTTGATCATATTTATTTGAGGGATATAGGTATATAGTATTTCCTAACTCGAAGCAAATATTGAGGAGGTCATTCCAAGACTATTTTATTGGCCAATAACAATTATCAAAAAGCAGCATTATTTCTATGATTAGTGTGGATGTAATTAAAAAAATGTTTTTTTGACATTAGTGGGTACTAATAGCTAGAATAAAAAACTGCATTCTCCTGATCATGCACTGCTGAACTGTTTGAAACTCATCAATGAATAAAATGATTTCATTTTCAGTCGATGTAGACCTTTTATCGGTACAACAGTTGCCTTCCACTATCATAAACAGACAAAATAAAGTCCAGCTAGCTGTTTTCTATATTTGCAACAGAAGTGTCTTTATTGAGGAGAAATGTCTCATTATAACTGCCGAAATTGTTTTTTGAGAACAATATGTACTTTGTACAAGTAAGAAACGAACATTGAATGGGAAGTCAAGAGTGAATCTATATCTTTTTTTATCTTTTGTGAACGAGTTTTAGGAAGCTTATTTTGGTAGT